TGCCGCCCCACAAGTGCGTGCACCATGCTCCCTCCTTTGCTCACAAACACACAGTTTTGCACACATGCACGCTTTTGCACACACACACACTTTTGCATGCATGCACACAAGGCTAGCCCAGTACACCAGTGTTGTCGGGGGTGCCCTGTTTCCTCCTCTCCTGATGCAGATATTCTTGTAAACATCAGGGAATGGTCTCTTCTTGTGTAGATGTAATACTAGCATCCTTCCCCACTGATGCCTCTTGGGGGTTGGGGGTTGGGGGTTGGGAGGTTGTGAAGGGGAAAGAGCCATCTATTCTTGGCATCCAGAATTAGAACTTGGAATTTACTGTCTACTAGAAATAATGCATGGGGCCTGGAGTTTTAGAATCAAGTCTTTTGTGGAATATCATAGGACTCCAGTCACCCCGAAACATTGTGTCTGTGGGAAAAATGCACCTTGAGTTCCGTCTTGCAAATGAATTTTAATGGTTTCAGTTTTACGTAAACTCTTCATAATATCCTAATGATACGTGTTTATTTAAAAAAAAACTTTGAGGATAAAGAAAAAAGCCAACAAACACATAATATTTTACTGGATGAGTTTTTTTCTTACAAAAATGTTGCATTGCACATGCCTGTATCATACCTGGCTTTATTTGATAATTGTGTAAGGCAGAATTCCAAATATGGCCCCCCAAGATTCCATGCCTGACCCCCAGAGCCTAAGAAACTGATGAGCTATCATGCCCATGAAAATGTTACCTGATATGGCAAAAAGAACTTGGTAGATTTAATTAAGGCTATTGGTTGACTCCGATATAGGGAGGTGATCCTGGATTATCTGGGTGGGCCCAGGAATCCTGTGTGCGCTTACAGACAGAAGGAGAGGTCAGAGAGACTCCACACATGAGGAGGAATTGATGTACCACTGCTGTCTTTGAAGATGGGGCCACAAGCCAAGGAGACGGGAGAGGGTTGTGGGAGCTTAGAAACACCCACGGCTGACAGACAGCAAAGAGTTGGAGATTCCAGCCCTGTAATCACAGAGAACTGAATTCAACTTCAGACTCTGTAAGCAGATCCTTCCCCAGAGCCTCTGGGTAAAAGCAGAGGCTAGCTGACACCTTGATTTCAGCTGGTGGGACCCCAAGCTGATAC